TACAAATAAAAACCGATGTCTTATCTCATTTGATCTTGTTATTTTAGACTGACCGTAGGCCGTATTTTTACACCTCATGGAGACACATGCCTTACTACAATTGCTAAGTCCCGATATACAAGAAGCCCAGATCCGTACGACGGCTCGCCCCCACGAACCGACGACCACAAGGGGGCGATGGACTACGTTCAGAACGCACGAACAGCCGACCTAAGGGTTTAGGGTTTAGATGATGTGCAATATCAAGAGAAGATGTGCGCAACATACGACCAAAAATACCAAAAGAGGTGTGTACACTTCCAGTAAGGGGACATTGTCATGGTCTGCTATCAAGATGAAATGGACAAGAGGACAGCACCATATGGCGGACCATACAAAATAGTATGCAGGGAGGGCAACGGGTATTTTGTCTGTAACCCTGATGGGACTAACAAAGCCCCCGAATATCCTATCTCAGTCAGTGCTGAGCTAATTGGACTCGTAAAAAAGGCCAATGCCCCGGAAGCATTTACCTCCAACAATCACGTACAACCAACCGAGGAGACTCAGTTCTCCTCGATAGTCGACCACAGAAGGTCCATCCGAGGTGATGGATTCCAGGAGTACCTACTGCGTTGGACTGATGGGGAGCGTATCTAGACGCAGGAATCAGACATCGCAGATGCTGATTTTCTTACACTATACCGTCAACTCACTCGACGCAAACGAAAGCAATCAAGGCAAACAAAATCAACAGCAACGGGCACTGATGAAAGAACAACGAGCAACAGAAAGCGCACGAGGTGGCGAACCTAAGCAAGTCTCACTGATACCAAAGGACGCACCCGCTTTTCTCGCCTTGAAGCATGCTCCGCCCACATACCAGAGGGATAAGGACCAAAGACTCGGTTGTAGAGCCACCGTTGAGAGGCGTTTTCCTAAGCCAAGTTGAGATCAACCAAGTGCACCGGTAAAGACTGACTCCAATGAGCGTGGTTGAGAACTCACGTCATAGTATAAATTTATCAATAGGTAATTCGTATCAATAGATAATGGTGGCAAGTTTTTCATCTTATGCCCCCTAAGGGACAAGTTTTTCTCTGAACAACCTCTACATAATCTAGTACTGTAAGATGTCACTTTCTACTCCTACGCAGGCTAAGAAGTATAAAGTTGGGGGGCTGTAGCATCTAGGGACCAGATTATCAAAAAGCCAATCCAAATCCCAAAAACTCAGAATAATCAATATTGAGTTTTGGAATAGGATTTAAACATAAGACAGTTGGCGGTGCCAATATTTCGAATATTAGTCATCAGAAATATTAGCGGTAGAACCAGTAAGCTATACCGGGGCTCCGCGTGTGAGAGAAACCCTCGAGTAGAAACCTGAGTCTAGTGAATTAGAAAACACGAATAAAGACTCAGTTCGGTTCTCTCAGACTATGGACTTTTCCAACCTGAGACAACCGTGCTTGAGAAGAGGTCTATTGTCTCCTTTGGCTCGTACCTTCAGCTACTCTCCATACTCTATACGTTGTTCGTTTGTATATGTGGCCGTCTGTAAGCCACCTCGTCACAATTTCACCCATTTTTGGGATGTATTTATGGGGTACAAAGTTGACTTTTGGCGTGCCTCATTTGTCTGAAATTAATTTCATTTACGGGTACTGTAACTTTAGAGCCTGGTAGGTTGCAATGTATGTCAGGATGCATGTTCGCGCTGGTCTCTAAAAGGTCTGCAAATGACTCTGAAACGCTTTTGCTCATGCTCTGGATCTTCCTCATGTGGAGTGAGTAGTGATTGCCATTTTGTATCTGTTGGTATAAGTGTATTTTTTTAATCCTGCTATGTATATACTTATGTATGGAAGTGTGTCCACACCTAGGAGTATTGGTGCCTTCTTGTCTGGTAGGTCCAATACTTCAAAACATTGAGAGGGTTTTCGTCCTCCATAATCAATGTCGCATACTTGGGTTGATCTTGTTCTGTGTGTTCTCGCGTCTGTTTGTACAAGTTGTATGTATCCCGGCTGCGCTCTGACTGATAAATATAGTTCAGTTACTATACTCTTGTCCATACACGAGCGTTGTGCACCGGAGTCTATTAGTGCATTGTATGTATTGCCATTGATTTATATGTCAATATGTAATTTTTGGTTTCGTGGTGCGGGAAGCAAGGACAAAGGTTCGTAATTTATATCATTTGCATTTATTAGCAACGTTTATTCATCTGTATTTACATTCAGCCTGTCAGTCAGGCCAATCATGTTTGGTTCCGCCCACCCGTTGTTTCAGGACTCATCGCTATCTCTCATATCCTCTACCTTCCCTGAGGTTATGGATAGTCTGGCTACTTGCATATCATTCTTGATACGCTCCTCAGCCTTCTTGTTTTGATCTGATGCCTTCATAGGACATTGGCTAAATCGATGTGGGGCTGACACCTTACAATAAGGACATGCACGTATTTGTGCTCTTTTTTTCTTATGTGGTTGTCCTGCTGCCCGAGTTTGTCTTCGTGTGCCATTGTTTGGTTTATGACGCTTGGCAGCAGCGGTGGTATATAGCGTTGTGAGCTTGGCTAGATTTGCCGTCTTAGAGCTGTATCTCTTACGCTCTATGTACAAACGATCTGCCTGTACTTTAGCTGCTGCTTTTATGGATGCTTCAGTGAGATAGTAGAACACACTATGTTTCATATCTGATAAGGGTCCGTCACTTCCATCAGGCAGTTTGTCTGTTTCAATGATTGTATCTACCTTCTCTTGCTGTCTATAGTATATGAGTGCCTTGTATCTTGCTACTTTGAGGAGTTGAGTGTGTATTGGCTCCTTGTCTGTGTCTCGGTAACGCTCCTCCAACACTTGCATTGTTCTATGCAACTGCTCTATGCGCACCTCTACGTTCAGTGCCTTGTTCTTCGTGTCATTGAGAAACTTCTATGATAGATAATCCACTGGGTGATACCCAAGTCTATCAATAATAATTCTATTGAATTGCTCTGGATCAGTGTATTGCTTTGTGACCTGCGTCTCTGAGCCACGTATGTATCTCATTGAGTACACATTTGGTGTTCTCTGACATCAGTAGAATCTAATAGACATCTCACAAGTGCTGGGTACTGACCTAGAGGCATTGACTTAGCCAGGAACAGGTCTCTGCATTGCGTAGTAAACTATATAATGTCTTCACAATTTTCCATTTCGAAATTACCGTCTCTTGGCAACTTCAAGAGTTCTGAGGTCTTTAGTAATATCAATAGTGCAGGTTCATCGACTTTATCACTTAAGCATGAACGCATACTCTTTAACTCACTAATAAACTGACTGATTTGGATTACTTCATCCTCTGCTTCGTCACCACACTCATTGATAGCTTGATAGTATCTCTTTCTGAGTTCGGTGTCTACCAATGGCATGCGACGTTCTGGGTGTTGATCGTAAGTGGCTACTTTCAACTTATGTAAACTCTCGATGACTGCAGGCACTGTTTGTTCCAATTTAGCTACAAGCCTACTAAACAGGACATAGTTGCCTTGACAAATGCTTTTGTCTATTCCTAAACGTATTACTGATGCCTGCGTGGGTACCCCACTAGGTACCTGCAGGCGTGAGCCACTACCTGGGGCTGGCTCCCCTGCTGGGCTGTCCCCCGTATCATTGGCGTTAGCGTCACCCTCCTGCACCACCATACACGTTTGTTGTAGGGTTTTGAATTTTCTGTGTTAGTGTGTGTGTATTGCAGATTATTAGTAAAGTCCGGTGCTATATTCTGTGCGAATAAGCTCTTCCCCCCCCTTGTGTTTGCTGTAACTTGTATAAAATAAATAAAAAGATAACTTTTCTTACTTACCTTTGTCATGATCACGCCTTGCTGCGCTTTCGTGAGAAGTGTTTACCGTTCTGTGTTGTGCGGTAGCTTGCTGTGTTCCTTTCTGTGATTATGAAAGTATATTTGATGTTTGTTGGTTAAGCGTATTTAGTCACGTGTGGACTTAATTGTGTTTCTTTCGTCATATGTGAAATTATTTTCTCATGTGTTGTTAACTAGATGTTCGGTCCTATTGACGTCATCTGTAAAGTTCGGCCTTACTGCCCGATGTTCGATGCGGTACCGAACTGGTGCGTTAGTGACGTCACCTGAGAGATTCGGTCTCGTACCGAACTGTGTTGATGGTAATACCTGATATGTTCTTCGTCTATTGCACTAATTGTTCCTCGACTTCTTCGAAGTAGTTGCGTAATTGCTGTGTTGTGCCGCGTGTGTATGCTATCTTGTATTGCCCTTACCTTTGGTGTTCAGGCCTTGATTGCACCCGTGATGTTCGTCTTAAAACCCTAATCTACCTTTTCCTTTACTCCAAGAACAAAATATTGGAAGACGAATTAGCAATCGCAACATCACGCTATACATGGCTATTGAAGCTACAACCAATTGCGATACGGCAATGGAAAGCTGAGGTAGAATAAAGACGAGCCACCATTGGACAGGTATTCATAGCATTCATAGTTTGGTAGATATGGCTGTTCTCCATATAGCCACAACCCTCTCCGAGTTACATCTTTGATCAAATTTAAAAATAAAGTAAATCTGATTGAACAATTATTCCGCCAAAAAAAATTGTGTCCAAATGTTCAATTTTCAGAAGGCTATGTCCAAACAGATTAAAAGAATGAGTTCAAATTTTGTCATCACAAAAGTAAATATTGTAGCCACGCCGTAGTCAAGATTTGTGCCAAGCTGTAGCCAAGCTGTAGCCAAGTCGTAGCCATGGCATAGCTAATAGATAAAAAATCCAAATAAATATAGCCACCGCTAGCTAAAAGTAAGAAACCACCTACAGCATCCGTTGTAGTCATCCTACCATCTACTTGAAGGTACCGATGTTCTTGTCTCAATCACCTCTATTTCAATAGCCATGTATAGCGATATTTAGGTAACGCGTGTGTGGTATTTTTCTATTTTTTTTTCTAGATTAGGGTCTTAAAAAATCGAGTCAAGTGTTGATTGTTCTTGGTCGTGATGTTCGTCTTCAATTGAGTCACGTGTGATGATCTTTCTTCATTACACTCTATTGAAGTTTGTACTGTGTTGAACTACAAGTGTGTGACTGTTTGTTTCCGTCATTTCCTGATCTGAACTGATCGTTCTGACAGTATTCATTCGTGGCACCCTCACCCTTTGTCTTTGTTGGCAATTGTGTTCTCAATCTGCTTGATTGTGTGCCCTGATTTGGTCTCTTGCGAATCTAATCATTCGTTACGTGTGTGTTCTTACTGCTTAGTTGTATTTGTACATCGTAAAAATTCTTAACATTGTAGTTTACTTTCCATGAAACTTGTGATTGCATGACATGTCCACGCCATTGAACTAATCGTCCATTTGATCGGAATTTATTGTTTATATTGCACAGTGTTGAGCTAGTTGCTCATGTGTGGCAGATTTGAGCGAAATGTTTCTTGCCTATGCTTTATTCATGTGTGCAGTACTAGTGTACATTATGGTCACTGTATCTGCGTATCCGTGTCACTTGGTTCAATTTGATTTCCCTCTTTCACGTATCTACATGATGCTATTTGCATCATGAATGTTTTCTTGGGTTGTCTGGTTCCGGACTGGTTATACTCGGCTACGTGTCCTATCTTTGTTCACTTTTTGTTGATGTGGAAGCCTAATATTAATTTTATTAGTCATTCAGTCCACTAGATAATAATGTGCACGCGACCCATGAAATACGTCTTTGATCTCACAATGTGTATTTGTCGAATGCTTCTCTCTGTCAAATACCCTGGTTGTTAACCTTGACCACCACCTGTGTATTGTCTTCCTGACTATTTGTGTTGGTCTTTGTTGTTGTTACCCTTGTGATATTAGTGATTTGCTAGTCTCTCAGTGACATGGCTTCTTATTCTAGCATTGATTTCACTAGATTCGATCTCGCAGGCATTTATTTGAGTGCTTGGCTCTTGGATCGCTTTGCTCTTATATTCGGATGCCTTTCTTTTGTCCAATCATTTGTAATTGATTTAACTCAAATCACTGGTGTCATAGTTATCTTGATTTCGTAGTGCTAATTGTCATCTCATTTGATGTACCAGCCTCATTCTCTAAGAACTTCTCTATAGTCTGATTACTTACACATGAAAACCTATTTGGTGCTGACGGACTCTAGTATTTCTTATAGTTTGAGTATCTTAGTCGTTGACCTTGAGATGTGTTGGTATACTTATCGACTAGAATCTCATAGCTATATGAAAGATTGGATGCCCTATGGCTAAACTCGTCTTCCCATGAAGCCTGTAAATGTTCCCAGCTATATCCCACAGGCGTTTTACTGTGCGGTCCTGGATATTCCTCGAATGAGAATTGTTATAGTGGCTTCTAAATACTTTAGCCTGTGCAAGTTCGTGATTCTTCACAACTGTTGTAGCTACTTATGACTATTAGGGCTTCCTTAATATTACGTGAATATACAGTGTACTATTCAAATCATTCTTTTCACGCTTTTTTATTATAGAAAATCCACAACATTGATGAATATATCACTTTGACACTTGGGGTGATTTCTTCGCCCCTGTATACACAAAACTTATGGAACACTACCTTATTGGTCTCCGTTGTCGTCCTGGTGCGAAAGGCAACTTCTTCTTTGCTTCCTCGTCCTCCTTTCTTCGTATTTCGTTGAGCCGGATATTGTTCCTCAGCTGGTACCCTCCTGGTACTGTCTCGTATCTGCACCTTCTGTGCTCCTTCTTACTCAGCTTCTTGCCATAAAGTAAATTTTTTAAGACCCCCTGGCAGATATTTTCATTTCTCACTTGTCTTTGGTAATCCTACGTCAGCTTTGTTTTGGCTTACCTAAGTAAGGATATTTATATAAAAATATAGAGTATGGAGAGTAGCCGAAAGGTACGAGTCAAAGGATACAATAGACCTTTTCTCAAGTACGATTAGCTCAGCTAGGAAAAGTCATTAGCCTGAGAGTACCGGATTGAATTTTTATCTGTGTTTTCTAATTCACTAGACTGGTTTCTACTCGAGTGTTTGTCTCATACACAGAGTCCCGGTAAAACGTACCGGTTCTACCGCTAATGTTTCTGATGACTAATATCAGGAATGTTTGAATCCTAATTCCATAACTCAATTGATTCTGAGGTTTTGGGATTTGTATTGGCTTTTTGATAATCTGGTCCCAAGATGCTACACAATAGTTATGCATGCGCAGGAATACTGATCTCATCAGCACACAATCTGTAAGGGCAATATAGGTACGTTCAAGCACTTGAACATGCATAAATCATCACAGAGATACATGTGCCTATTATCTACTATTTTCAGCAACGTGCATAACGCGGGTCACTTGTGGCTCTGTATGTACAGCTTCTCCTGCTTGCAAACACTTAATCTTGCGTACGTAAAAATCTATATTGGCATATATTTGTTTATAAGTACACATTTCATTGTATTAATATTGCCATCGATTGATACGCAATCAAACTAATTGCAAGTATGAGTTCCGCTACACAAAAGCATATTGGAATATGCATACATGTCCATACTAAAATAGTATGTGTGTACATAGACATATATCGCTGCTACTGAGAGCAAATTATGTTTTAAATAGAGCATACCTGTATTACCATCTTCAATAATTAAAACTAATAGTATCTAGGCGAGTCCCTCTTAGACATATGTCTAATCTCGTAGGTTAACGTGTGCACAATGAAATGATTTCGTCGGGGGGTTTACATTCGACATATAAATACTATTGCAAATTTCATCATTAATTACACAAGCACAAGTGCACGCTTGAGTACTACCAAAATAGTGAGGTTTAAATCTGCGCGTGGAAATATAAAAATATGAATAGACGATCCTTCAGAGAGAATGAAAGTGAAGAAGATTTCAATAATAGTAATTACCATGTTCTTAATATGAATGGACGGTACACAAGGGCTATGTGAATAGAAATATTGCTATGACCATCTGCGAGTGCAGATATTACATGCATATGTATTCCACCACTTGATTATTTACTCTAATAGGACTTATTGACCCTTAGGTTGCAAATGCATTAGTATCGCTGGAGTTTTTGTGTCTCTAAATATAAATTACTCGCTCACACTCAATAGCTATATCACAAGCAGATTTGATAGCCAACGCAGGTGTTGTTAAAATTTATGTACACGTCAAAATTAACGCTGAGTTTACGGAACCGTGGTCTGAGATAAAAACACTTTTCGGGGTAGCTGAAAAGCCCCAGTTTGGGGTAGCTGAAAAAGGCGTTTCAGAGTCCAAAATTTTGTAGAAATGTCCGTGTTGAAAATAAAATATGGAGAAGTAGTTCAAAAGTAATGTCAACAACTGCTATTAGGCACGTCAATCGGGGAGCCACATACGTTTGTAATGTGATCAAGAGACAAATACACAACGTGGGTGATTCGGCGCTGATTGCCACTTACGCAAACCTTTAGGATGAATAGATTTTTGAAAGCAATGGCAACACGCGAGATCATCGTCATTCCATCTCCGACCGATTGTCTCTAAATCCCTGGGGAGACGATCAAGTTGTTCTTATTCGTCGACTCGCTATGGAAAGGAGCGGCTTAGAATAGGCAATTTAGCTCGCGTTTATAGGGATTACTATAAAGTTTGTCATTCTGTACACGTAACTGTAACTAGTACAGAGGCGTCAGTAAATAAAGCAAAATACATCTTTTCGGTGCTCTGCGTGGTATACTTTCTACTATACATCATTGCCAGCACATGTTATATAACACACTATAATCAAACAATAGCTCATTTCTATAGTAAGCATCACCACGGTAGCTCTTTACCCACTGTGTCTCGCTCAGCCGCAACAGAACAGAGGCTCACGAGCTTTAGGTAGAAAGGAAGTGGTATCTGCTGCTTTCAAAGCAGCGAATGAATGAGGTGTAACTTTCCCCCTTTCAAGGTAGTCATTTGCTGGCAGCATGTATGATACCTGGATTTTTCTTTCTTCATTGTCTCGTGAAGATTTCTCATACCACAGTGAGCATACAGTAGTCAGTAGTGGCTCATGGTGGCAAAGCTACCGTCAGATAGGAATAGTCGTCACTTTTACTATACCTCGATATTTTCGTTCGCTGCAAATACACAATTCAACTTGCAAGTTGTCTATTTTTTTATAGTTACTTTCAGGCTTTACCTTTTTATTTTGGTCGCAAATGGTTGTACCGTATGTATTTCGTTTCGTTAAAACCCTCGATGGTAAGTAATCAGATGTAGCGTTTTCAAATCTAATCGTGAAGTACCGCTGATATTGATTGATAACTTTACATTCGACATTCAATATTGGAGTAGTAGCTTGACAACTGTGAAATAGCTTTCAATGGAGTAAAGCCTATTTTTGTCGGAATGCATCTGGCTTTGACCCTCTAGTAGTGTCAATTACATACTAAGCCATTCCGAACGAACGGAAACAAGCGATGAGCACACATGCGATTCTTGTGCACTAGCCAGTGTCTTGAAATACCGTAACCCGTGATCAGACTTTTCGTTTGTTTATGATTATTATTACTTAGCGACCGTAAGGTGTGTAGCGAGCGTCTCTAGCAGCTGCATCATGCCCCTGACTTTGGCATGCAGTCGTGCCGTAAGCATTGTTATCCGCGTAACCTCCACCGTATACAGGGGCCGCCTGTTGAGTGGGTTGGCCATATCCTGAATAGCATGATGAGGAGGTGGATCAGTATTCTGTTTGTATAATTTTAACTTTCGCTCACGGTTCATAGCGGCGGCAAATTGACTTGCACAGGAACTGTACATCATATAAAATTGCCTCCCCCTATGAACGCCGACATGGTAGTCTACCTAACATCTCTTATACGAGGCCAAATCAATCAATCAAACTAAAATTTGATTGCCTTTGCATCAGGTTGACATACACTCTGTCGTTTAGTCATACAGAACGTATTAGATGGCCAATCATGGAAAAACTACTATGATTGGCCAAAGCTGCAGCGCAAAATCACAAGTGGACCGATTAAAAAACCACCGGGATAATCATAGATACATACCATCATAAGATTCGAAACCCTGCTGTGCAGTTGCTCCGTATCCATAGTCTACTGACGGTCTGCCATACGCCTGCAGTTGCTCGTAACCATAAGCATCTGCACCATATGTACCATTTTGTGCGTAGGGATCTTGGGTACCGTACGATGCTGCTAGAGGCTGGTTGTATGCTGTGAGATGAAAAGATATGCTTTAGCGTGGCCGACATTTAACTATTGACTCCATACAAAGTAGGTCAGCTTAAACTAGCAGAGTCAGAACCAAAGTCAGATGTCAATATCAAAAGTTTGATACTACATCGTGGGACAAGTATCACTGTGTAGTGCGGCGATAATCGCTGGTACATCCAGGTGTTGGGCCTCCAAAGTAACCATACACATACCTTGGGCATTGGCACGAGCAAAGCCGCCCCTAGCAGCGCCACCTCGCCCCCCCCTCGCTGGCGCACCACTGACAGGCGGTTGACCGTAAGCACCAGCACCTGGGTTATTTGGAAGGCGGAGTGAGGAGAGATACATATTCTGCATCACTATACCAGTTCACAACATTAACTAATTTACTGTTTTGAGCAACTGATAGTTTAGAGCGCTGTGAAGAAACAGAGCAACAAACACGTTACTATTTGTTTTAAACTTTCAATTTCACTCACATGTGACGGATACTAAGCATTTGAGGGTCTTATATCAGATTTAGCGATCATTTCCAGTGATCATGACCGCAAACTATTTCCAAACTGAAGAACGAAGACGTAAAAAAACAAAAAGAAACAAAAATACAGCACTAGTGTCACAGCTTCAAAATAAATAAAATAAAACGCTATTTATTGCTAGACACATTCTTTACCGAAACTGATAACGCAATAATCCTGCATAGAACGCTCCGTCTACAACTCACACGTGCAAGTAGTCAAAACAGACACAATGTGGTTCGATGAAGCTATACGTCAGAGCAACTAATCCTCGCTCTCGTATCAAACAACTCACACGCCACAAGTCGAATACTCTGCTGCTCCCGAACAACAAAAATATCCAATTCTTCTATTCAATAAAAGACAGCTTCCGTTCGATCGTCTCCCAAACTACGATTTCACCCGAATATTACAATCCATTACCAATCGCCATACATACCTCCAAGGGGAACAAATGGACCTTTTCCGGGTGCACCGAATTTGCCACCTCCGTACGCTTGCTGGCCATATACGCCCATAGGTGTGGGTCTGGCGTAAGGTGCAGCACCGTATGGCATAGGCATGGCCCTATTGTTGTACACTTGCATGCCACCACGCATACCCCCCCGACCACCTCGACTGGGCATTGCGCCCCCAGCACGGGGATCAGGCCTGAGTGGCCGAAGTGAGCGGGATGAGAAAATATGTTTGTCAGTAGTGTTGTAGCTGAAGGTAGTTTGTATAAGGCACAAGGTGAAGGCAATACCAACGTGTCTCAGGTATAAACTTACTCCAAATTCGAATCCAAAAAGCACCTAAAGTTCTGAGATATACTGAGATACTACATAGATAAATACTTAAAAAGTTCAGGTCCGGTGTGCATCAATATAGACTTTTAGCAGGCTGCAATTTGAAGGTAGTTGAAACATTTCGTGCACGAACCGGGTCTTAAGGACGTCTACTCATAGGGCATGCCCACCTACATACGATAATCAGAATAGTAGGGGCTCATTTGCAACTCACTCGCATATATAAATACTGCGACCTCACACATCAACAATGGCACTGTATATATATTAGCCAACGAAAACAAGCATTTTGACTACACGCATATTTCTAGCGTTTACCGAAATACCTTTGCTCGGCTCTCTTCACTTCAATCTGCTTGCCGTCTATTTCATAGTGGCTTTTTTGTGTAACAATGCTGACGGTCAATTTATTCTCAAATGTGACAAATCCAAAACACCTCGATTTCTGTGACAAAAAGTAAAGAACAATACGTTTAGAGATGCAAAAGATTCCATCGAAAAGTTTTGGTAGATGCAAGTGGGTAACAAACTAGTTATCAAATCCAACATCATATATGTCCGACACTTAGACTCGTTTCCAAGGACAAAGCACTGAATTTGGAAGCTCGCGTGCTCAGACATTGTAATATAGCCCATGCAGATAAACACTATGCGCGATCTGATATACATGGCATTTGATTGTAGGCTAATGCACGCACGTACCCCTGTCAGCTTATCCTTCATGACGCGGACCTCTTCCACAGCACCAAACTTAGACATAGCCGTCTTCACAGACTCCTCGGTAGTTTCTGGGGAAAGACCCCCAATGAAAATCTTCTGCTCAAAATTGCCGCCGTGATAGTTGCCTCCGCCGGCTGTAAACGCCGGTTTGGTATTGAAGGCGCCGTTTGTTTGTGCGGGTTTCTTATTAGCAGGTTTCTCCTTGCGTTCAGCATTGGCTACACACCGCTTGGCTTCTATCGGTCTCTCCCCCATTTTAAGTGGTGCGGCATCGAGAACCTTTTGTACAGTCGCATCCTCTACAAATGTTACGAAGCCGAAGCCCCTATAGGTGTACAGTAAAGGTCAAGGGTGGGATATACGGATTGTCAGCGTTCAACAATCGAATCGTTACCGGCGTTAGGTTGCAGGGGTGAGTATCACCATAAGATGTTTGGCAATCTTCCCATTGCACTGTATTATTTTAGCGGATAGCGGAGGGACAACAGGCGTATATGCAGATGATTAGATCATTACTCAGTAGAAATGCTTCTATACATACACACGGACAAATGTATTCCTGAGCGTAGTATATATATATATATATATAGATATGCTTGCCTGGCCAACAACCGCACACCTATGCGAATGTAAATAACCACAAAAATACTCGATTTACAGTAGACCACAATAATTGTAGCATATTTGCCATTGATCAATCACTAATACGTCATACTTTGTGCGGTCTTTTCCTTTTGTCATAACCACCTGTGCTTCTTTGACTTCACCAAACTGTGTGAAGAAGTCTTTCAGAGTAGTCTGGGAAGCATCTCCAGCAATGCCACCAACAAAAATTTTTCTGTGGCAATGAGAAAAATGCATAAAAATTAATTTCCAATAACCACATCTGTTGTCCCTCTTCTATTTGTCAGGCGCACAGGGCGGCCACTGCTACCTCAGCAATTTATGCGTTCAGAAGAGTGACGCGAAGGGGCAGTGGTGAAGAACGACCATTTTTTGCATAGATAAACTATACATATTGATAGGAACAGCTGTATCCGCGCAAAGCAGGAAGTGAATATCAATATGATTTGACAGCATTCGCATATTCGATCAATGCTACAAGTACATGGAATTGCACGTTAGAATCTGCATAAGTGTGTGTGCATGTACACATGCGTCTACCTGTATGTGAAAGGGTGAGGCATGGGCGAGAGGTCGTGGCATATGGATGTAGGGTGACTATAAGTCAGGCGGTGTGGGGATATCGGTGTTTGTGCAAGTGCCTTTGTGTGTCTCTACGCTTTCGTGTCAATACCCTTGTGATACTGTCCCGGTCACAACATCTATATTGTATACATCACTTCAATGAGATGAGGTTAAAAAAGTCGGAGACAAGTATTGAAAAATCGAAATTGTGCGTGACGCTACTACGATGTATGGTATCTCGAGTACGATCTATTATCTCTTGGCTATAACTCGGGTCAATTTCACTGCTTCACGGATCATACAGCAATCGACACAGTTCAGTTTGCACACAAGCACTATTTAAACGGGACCACTCACAGACTTGCACACAGACACAAGTATGCATGTCCACATATTCTGATTTAGGACATGATACTTCACAATATGCACAAATGACTTCTTTCGTAGTAGGAACACATGAAGATACCAGCGAAAGTAAACAACTTAGGACCACGTGATATGATAGTCGATTTTTCGCATCCAAGAATCCGTTCAGCAAGCAAAACTAACAATTGACATGTGTATATGTAGATGATATCTACATGTGAGTATAGAGTTTGTACTTTTTATACACTCATCATACATGTATATATGGTGTTCTCATGACCATACAACCACTAGCATATACAATGTACTGCTACACACATATATTTACATACATTTAGACGCACTTTGGATATATATATGTATGCATATGCTCACCAAAACAAACACATATACATATTTATACATACATCAAAATAATACACACACAAACACACACACATATATATACATACACACACACGCACACACGTATACACACAAACAAATTTAAATATACACGCACACACACGCACACATAGAAATACACACACACGCACACATAGAAATACATACACACACACACACATATATATAATATAATCATATAATCATATAATAATACACACACACACACACGCACACACACACACATATATAAACATATAATAATAATAATATAATAATAAAATACATTGAGTAATACACACACACACACACACACACATATATATATCAACATTGATAATAACATCGTCAGTTTCGGTGCTGCTACATGCCGCGTAAACAAGCATCACGAACGTACCCAGTGATGTCAGCCTTATCAGACTTCGCCGCCTCATCCGTCTTTGGCGCAGCTTCTGCTACCGTTTTTTTGCTATCTGCTGTTTCAGTTGTGTTTTTCTCAGTACTATCTACCGCCTCTGCCTCTGCAGTTTGTTCACCGACCACTTCATCAACTGAATCATCGACTTGTTCGGTGACATTTTGTTCGTCCTTGACCTCTGTGCCTGACATGTTTACTATCGAATGTGTACGGAATAGGATATACTCACGTCTACGACCTAATATAATAAATATATACAATTGCAGACGTTATTTATGTGTTGACTTCACTGTTTGTAGCTCTCCATCTAATCTATACAATGTGTAGTTATGACTGTATTTGAATATCTGTAGGTGGCCCCAAGATCGGATCGCATGGCTTTTTCGACTTTCACACATTCCCATCCCCATCCCCACGCGCTGAATAACCTAACCAACAAAGCTATTTATGCCCACTCTGGGAGTCACTTGCCCCGCGCAATCGCATATAGACACCAGTCACCCTGAAATTAGGACCGGTCCAAATTTGAAATTGACTAGGTACCAATTTTTTATCAAAAAAAAACAGAGCATATTCAAGAACGTGAGGCATGACTGAGGACACCAGCCCAGCTTCCGTTTTAGTTGGTATTTGTCATGTAAATACACCTTCCTGGCGTACAGGCTACAGGCCGACAGGCAAGAGGAAAAGTAGCCTCAGACCCAAGTTGGATCTCTAACTCAGTACTCGGATCTCTTCTCTCTCATAGAGAGGTGCTATATACTAGCTTTCAGACAATAATTGAATAGCTTAATATGAGCGTTCCTACGATTTCGATTCTGACAGGTATGTAACATTTTTCATAATCTCAAAACGGAAAATGCAACCGCGATTGGTTTTCAATATTTTATGTAATACATTCGTAAGATCGGGACAGTTCGATAAAGCCACAATACAAGCTACGTGAATGGAAATCTTCTAAAAAAGAACGTAACATATATCGTCTCAAATTGTAAAGCTTATCAGATGTAACCAATTTGCCAAACTGCCACCGCCCATCATTTGTTAGTAAACTGCAATAGACGTCTCGTAAGAAATAAACGATCAAACTACACCAGCGATTTAGTTATATATATATGTATATATATATATATATATAATATCTATATATAGTCCTCGCCATGAGCAATTTTTTTATCAATGTGAGATTGTAAGCTTCTTATGCCGTTTCATTCCGATATTTGGTACTCGGCCTAGTACACAATCACAGTCGCAGAATATACTGTGAATGTGACCAAGGAATGCCCTCCAGAAATTTAATTACATCCAACGAGATGTGTCCTCGAAACATATTATAGAGTTTGAATAGGAACCGTCACCACTCAAACGCATTTACTACTATGACACGAATATGTGATTTGCACGTTAATACTGTACGCTACCATTGACCGGTAGGTATAGCTAAATAGAGGCAAGACCATGAATTCGAAATGTGGCAGAGTATAAAGATAAAGAGAAGCTTATGGATGAGAACATATCTACTAACTTGAAGAGATAAATATACACTGTGTCGCTCTCTCTCGCGTCAATGCATTATTATTTACAGTCGCTCAGACTCTCAGTTTCAGTATTTATTTTTAGTAAAATTGACTGTATCAGAATTACATAGGGGTGGACTACAAAAACAGTAGGTTTTTTGAAGACGTGGATTTTTACTATAGAGGTTGACTCAGAGGTACTTTAATTATTGCCGTTCATTGGTCATTAAATAGCTTATAATTTTCGTCTTGACGAGTTAGCCACGCAAATTGTATCTCATCCCGATCAGCCTATTGATTCAAAAGTTAGGGCTAATACTGGTTTGTACCACAACTGGGTTAAATTAGCCATACGTAGGCGCTGAGTAGGTCCATGTACACCCATCTCATGCTCCTAGGATAAAAGTATGTTAATAAATATACTAGGAAGAGAAATTGTTACCTGAAATACACCTCCAGAGTCGCTGTGCGAGCACATATATCCTCCCAAAGAGTATTGAAGCAACATACTTTTATCCTAGGAGCATGGGATGTGTGTACATGGACCTATACAGCGCCTACGTATGGCTAGTTTGACCCAGTTGTGGTACAAACCAGCATTTGCCCTAACTTTTGAACCAATAGACCGATCGGGATGAGATTAAAAATGCTTGGCTAACTCGTCTAGATGAACATTTTAAGCTATTTAACAACCAATGAACATACATTAATAATCTTCCTCTGGGTCAACCTCTATTGTAAAAATCCCAGTCACCAAAAGCCAATGTTTTTGTTGTCCACCCCTATAAATATATATATTTATAAAAAAACAACAAAACATAAAAGACAACAAAAAACAACAACAACCAATTTAGTCCTGTGTAAATCATACATAGAGCCTTCTAAATTGTACCCCTCCGGCCTCCTGTGCAAATAAACCTCGTGAAAATGTACTGGGAAGTACATTCGTACAAGAAGAGCAAGGAAAAATAAATACTCGCGCGCATGGGTGACCTGTGTCACTGGCCAATGACTAGTTGGCTATTGAAAAACTAATGGTGTACTATTTTTAGAAAAGTCTAAATATGCCAGTTGCCAGTTACCAGTTGCTGGCCACTGTGTCCTGTGAGGCAGTGAGAGTCTGTGACTGAAAATCAACACTGGTTTTTATCGACATTGTGTGTACACGACAGTGTGAAATTAAAAACTTGGTTTTTATTTTCTCGTGTGGTGCTGTGTGAGAGACTGGAGCCCGTGGAGGGGGTGTGACTTGCGCGTTGTTGAGTTGTGTGTAATTGTGTTCAGCTATGCGAGAGCCCAAAATAATTGTATCGATGCACGCGGCACAAGACGACTTACATTACTCACACACTCAACACACACACACGTATTAGTCTGCGTGCGCATAGATATCATCCTCCACACTATATTATCCGGATATAGCCAGATATATACATATCTACCACAATGGACGCCATCGTAGAGACTCAAGCCAACAACGAGGTCGAGGATGATCTGTACAACGATGCCATCGAGGCTGAAGAGGAGGTCGGAGAAGAGCTTCCCGCAGAGGAGGCTGAGGGTGTAGATGCCAACGAGCAGGTGGGAACTGGAGAGGATCTCATCGATGCAGCGCAAAGCAAAGCATTGAACACAGAGAATGATCCCAATGCGAACCAAGAGAATACAAGCCAAAAGCCGGAAAGTGATGGCACCGAGGGGTACGTGTGTGTGTATTCGTTTAGATATGATATTCGTGTAGACATGAATTTTTGTATATGTGAGAGGTAATGGGAACAGTTCTGTGTGGTTCCGCATCGTCTCCTTGTCAGTTGCCACGCACACATGTTACACTCGCTGTCACGTACATCAAAAAAATACTATTTTGAGTAGGTTTGTGCTAGCGCTGAATAATTCAATTCATGTATGGGAAGATTGGCTATTTTTACTTGATTGGGCGCCGCTTGTTCACTTTGGTGGAGCGATATTGCAGCATTTTCGTTGTATTGGCCGTAATTCAGTCATGTAGTGGCTTCGTGCTTATTGTGATGACCTTATTTGTACGAAATAACATGTGCTGCACCCGCTGCACGAGTCAAACCTCGAATGTCGTTGTTTTATCATTTTCAAGTTGAATATCGAGTCGACTTGCCTGGATTTTGTGCTCACTGTTGAAATAGTTTTGCCGCTACCTTACTAATACATCCTACGGAGGATAACGTCCAAGCTTCTTGAGATTTAAGTATTTCTAGGTTAGATCGAAAGCAGCCAGCTACATAGCCTGTAGAGAAAGATCGAAAGAGCATATCAATTCGACCCGTGGTTAGGAGGATACAGTCTAACACACTGATAGATCGTGCGTGGCCTCATACGCGAGATATTGCATAGGGCAAATCTCAAAGGGGTGCACGATAATTAGAACAAGACGCAGTCTAGCTAATTATCAATCTACCTTCTCCACCAAATCTGCCACTTTAGAAAAATGTTTATCGGTGGCCTTAGTTGGAATACTACGAAGGGTAGGTTACTTTAGTGTGTAAATGTTCTCATCGAGTTGTCGTAGTGATCTTTAGTCGTATCGGAAATTGCGAGAAGCTTAGTGTACTCAAGTTTACAAATAATACACGCCAAGTACGCAGTGATTTTTTTCATAGGGGTTTGTACAAGCGAAACCTTGCGAAAAAGCTATAAAAGACAACAGTTTGCGAGTCATATTTTTGAAACGAATTAAGATTTCTGCGGTGTAGTACAGAAGATTAAATGTCACCCCTGTTCTATTTCACAGAGACACTACAAAGCTACTTTGGAAAATACGGCGAGATTGTCGATTCCGTTATCATGATGACTCCAGGAGGAGATCGCTCAAGGTACAATAATCATCGACACAAACGTTTTAAGTCTACAGATGCAATAAGCATACACACATGTTATATATATATATATATATGTATATATATATATATATATACATACACACACACCCACCTACACATACACACACACACGCACACACACTCACACACATATATATATATATTACACACACACACACACACACACACTACACATATATATATATATAATACACACACACATACACACACACACACA